AATCCTGCGCACCTCCAGGTACTGAAACCTGGAGATATCAGCCTGGGTGGCATGGAGTCCGGGGCTGGTCAGGGACTGGCAAGGGCAGACCCAGGTGAAATCCAACCAGGAGAGGGTTTCTTGTCACAGCTGGAGAAATCTGGCTGCAACAAACGTTTCCCACAGACTTCCAAGACTTTTACCCCTTGATGTTTTTAGGAGGACAAGACTCAACAATTTACACACCTCCCTTTCTTTTTGCAAGCTTCTTCCCAGAAGCCAAAGGACTGATTCCCACCTTGACCAGGTACCTCAGGGAGAAACACACCAAAGAAACGCCCCACCAAACATATGTTGTCCCTGAGGAAAGAAGACATTGGATATTTTGAGCCAAACTTCATTTGGACTTGGTCCTCCCACCCTCTCTGTGAAGCTGGGGCCAGTCTCCATCCTTGTGCTGCTGGGAGCTCCCTTGCACATTGCAATGGAAAGGCAGCTGGGACCCTACACTCCCAGTCACTCCCAGTATGGGATTCAGTCCTGTCTCCCTATGGTACTGAGCCAAAAGCAGGAGGGCCAGAAAGGGTGAAAGCCAGTGTGGACTGCAGGGAGTGCAGAGGGTCCCAGGGATGCAGCCTCTGTCCCCACAGGCTGCCCTCTGACCCATCCGTACCATGTTCCCATTCACCCTCATCCACTGCAGGGATGGTCACAGCCCGGCTCAGCTGGAAAATCAGGTCCCACTGTTGTGCTCGGGGGCAGTTCATGGTCTGGATATTGGACACAGCTGAAATCTCTCCCTTCACCTTATTTCTCTGCTCCCATGTTTGCCACATTGCAGCCACAGCAGCCTGCTTTAGGGTGCCTGGGTCCCACATGAGCACTGGTCGGGGCAGACTGCCCTCCTCTTCCCTAACTGGGACCAGGGATCAGCAATGGCCCCTGTATTCCCGTAGGGAGTCTTAGTGGACAGGAAACTTTAATGCTCAAACTTGAAAGGCAACCAAGGTAATTTCATGGGAACTGTGCACCAGAAACACGTTCAGCCTGGGACCACCTGGGGGGGAAAAGGTCCCCCAGCAGACCCCAGTGTAAGTGTGTGTGTGGAGGGTGTTTTGGAGAAAAATCCTCTTTTTCTTCATTTTCTGCCATGGGTTGCCACAGCCATAAAATCCAGGCACCTCCAGGGAGATTAAAAAAACAAATAAATCCTCTCTGTTTCGTGCCAGCGCACAGGGAGGCTCCTCTGGGCTGGCTCAATACCGGCCTGGAGGTCACTGTAGGGGTTACCTTGAGTGTGTGTTGGTGTGCACACATGTGCTGGTGTGTGCACACACGTTCTGATGTGTCCACACCTGTGTGTGTGTGTGTGTGTGTGTGTGTGTGTGTGTGCGCGCCTTTGGATCCTGCTGAGGCAGCCCCCCACAGACCCATGCAGACTTCATGGGACCTGGTCCCCCAGCACCCCTGCCTCTTTCTCCTCCTTGGGCACAGGGTGCCCACGCAGTGGAGGGGTCTATGGACCCCCTGCCTCTGCCCCAGGCCTCCTGGCTGGTGCTGGCGATGGCAGTGGGGTGGTGGTGGCGGGCGGTGGGGACAACGGGGACACAGGAGGCGAGGCAAACAGGTTCCCTGCTGCTGTCGGAGCTGGTTAAACATTGTCCCAGGCCAGTTAGGTAACACAAACCACAGTGGGAAAGAAATGAAACTGCCTGAGCAAACAAGGTGCACTTGGCAGAGCAGCAGCTGCGTGACAAAGCGCTCCCTTCTCCCTGCCAACCTGCCAGGGTTATCTATTGATGCAGAATAAACACCTCGCCCACAACCCCAAACTCCGAGGCACGGCAGCCGGGAGCACAGCCCGCTTCTGTGAGTCCAAGCCTGGGGCTGGGCTTGCCCTGTCCCCTCCTGGGACATGGCGATTGCCACCAAGCACTGTCCTGGCCCTGTCCCACACATGCCGCTTGCCTGGGCAGCCTGAGCATCTCGGCACTGTCCCTGCTGCCACCCTGCCCAGCCTGCTCCTTGCAGCAGCTCTGGGAGGTCAGGGATGGGCCTGGAGCACCCTCTGCTCGCTGGAGCCAGCAGCCGCCAGCCAGGAAAACCTGCTCCCTGGGGAAGGTTACACAAGGAACGTGACGGGGGCCTGGCTGCAGCCCAGACCATGGACTGGCTCCTGGGTCACACCCAGGGACCGGGACCTCTTCTTGCACCACAGGGCAACCCTGATGGCCTCATCTCAGCGTGTGGATCTGAGGGCAGCACAACTTCGACCCAGGACACCAGAAGGTGAGGAGGGATGGAGGTCTTCCATATGGTTTTGTTATCCCCAGGATTTTGCATCACTACAGACCTCCCCTTATGTCTTGTTGAATTGCACAGATGGGCATGGCATGGCTACAGGAGACCAGGCATCCCAGCTGGACCAGCAAGGAAAATCCTCATGCAAACATCAGTTGAACTCACCCAAAAAAGGTTGGACCAGGCCCATGGGCACCTCCAGCCCCTGGCAAAGCAGGTGGGCCATGCCCTTGGTACCACTGCAGCATCTCCAGGAGCTCCTTCAGCTGCCACTGAGCCCACAGCCTGGGGGCTGCTGGCAGAGCAGTTGGGTGTCCAGGGCCATGGCCACTGGGTTTGAAAGTGAAGCAGGAGACTTGCAGCAGGGTCTGTGGCTCCCCCGGCCCATGGACCCAGCTCTTGTTATCCAGGTCCTGGGGAGGCAAGGGCACCAGCCCCAAGGCCAGGACAGCCAGGGGGGACAGTGCTGATGTCCATGTGAGAGCTTGCTTTGAGGGACTTTTCTCCTTTTTTTGCATCAGTTCACACTTTTGCAAGTGTGAGATGCGTGATTTTTAACTGTACCATGTTTCTGGCAGTAATGAAGGGCAGTCAGGTTCAATGACTGGGTCCTCCTGCCAAAAAGGCATCTTGGGCTTTGCAAGGCACCCTTACTGCCTAGAGGCATCCCAAAAACTCGCCTCACCCCCCCGCTGGTGGACTGGCTCCCCTCCTTAGACACTCCAGGCACTGGCTGAAACTTTTCAGAAGGATGTGGCATCGCTTTTGCCTGGGCACCCCAGACCTGGTTGAGCTCCAGGCTCAGAGGAGGGGTCCCAGGGCCAATCTCCATGTGGGTGAACAGGAGCTGAGCAGTGCTGGCCCCTGCATGACCACATTCAGCAGGGTCCTGCACACCAGCAAGAGATCAGGGTTGCAGCAAGACCCTCTGGTGCCCAGCAGCATTCAGGGATACTTGTCATGAAATGCAGGCAACACACACCTACCCAGAGCCAGGCATGAACCACTGCTTGCCAAGCTTGTGTTAGGGACGCATCCGAGAGCCTGCTTGGCCTCCAGCCCCACAAACTCCACAGACATATCCTGTGGGTCAGAGAGATCCTCCCAGCACCCCTGGGTCACCCTCCCTGCCTCCTCGTGCTGGGTGAGCTGGGGAAGGCTGTGTTGCCGTCGCGCAAGAAGGGGCAGACAGCGTGTTTGGGCTGTCCACACTGCCAGGCCATAGCAGTGCCCACTCAGGACATGGTCCTTGAGAGGGACTCGAGTCCTAGGAGAGGCTCCCAAGCAGCCAGACTGGAAGATGAGCAAGTGCCTGTGCTGCTTTGTGTCCCTCCACACCTCAGGAGAGACCACTGGCCAGAGAGGGGCTGGAGCCAGGCTGGGGACCTTCACGTAAGACCAAAGCAGACTGGGCTCTGGGACCAGGAATTCCCTCCTGGCTTGGAGTCCATGCTCCAGGAAAGCCCTCCTGCAAAGCTGAGTGCCAGGACTGAATTTCTGGAGGGTCCTCAGAAGGGCCAAAGTCTGGGAGCAGGGGTGAGATGCCCCTGCATGGCAGGCTTTGAGACCAGGCCTCCAGATCTTGCTCCCACCAGCCCAGGGACAAACAGCCCACCTCATCCTGGGGAAGACGCTGTGACCCTGTCCCAGGATGAGCAGGCAAGAGGGGTTCATATGGGACATCCCACGTAGCATGAGTCTGGGCTCCGTGTCTTTAAGAAAAAGAAGCAAAATAACAGGGAAGTACAAGAAAAACCCAACCAAACAACAATTTATTCCTCTTATGTTCCCATTTGAAGAGGGGGAAACCCCGTGCACCTGCTGGGTGCCTGGCAGGGCTGGCACCCCCCTCGCGGGGCTGACACAGAGCCAGTCTGCGCCCCCGTGACATCGCTTCAGTCCAGCTGAGCGTCACCCCCTGCCACGAGACACCCGCACACCCTACAATACACACACACACAGGAACATCTTACTCATGAAAAAATATATCTGTACATTCATTCTGTGGTTGTTTTTTTGGTCTTACATAAATTAGAAGCTACTTTTGGGGAAAAGGCCTGTTTCCAGGTACAGGCAGCCGGGCTGGAGATGCAGAGTGTCCCTGTTATCCCAAGTCCTCTCCCCTCTGAGGGGTCTCCAGGGCCAGGTGAAGCTCTAGAATGTTCCCATCTTCTCTCAGCAGGTGCCACGCTGAGAAACTGCTGCACAGGGAACCCTTGCCCATCCCACATGGAGCAAACAGGACGGTGGGCACCTTCAGTGCAGCGCGAGCAGTGATGGGGCAGGACCCCATGTGTGGGACAAGGCCTGTCCGGTCTCAGGTGAGGTGGTGGTGCTGCCCCCCTGCCCGGGCAGAGGTGGGTGACAGCGGGAGACTCGCTGGGCTCTCCCCATGGCGCAAGCTGCCACTCGAACTTCACTTCCCTTGTGATTGTCCAGGCTTTGAAACAGCCAAAGTCGCTACGACTCCAGTCAGAGGTACAAATCCAGCGAGAGCAATAACGGTTTACAATAACCTACTGGAGCCAAAATATTAGCTTTGAACACCTCGGTGCCAGCAGTCACCAGCATGCACCAGCGTGCCCACGCGAGGGTTGGATTTCCACGCGCTGCATGGGGCAGCAGCTTCCAGATACAGCTGCAGGCAAAATTTCCTGCCAAGGAGTCCAGCTCGGGGGTGGCCCCAAGGGGCTCCTCAGACCCCGGCTCATCCACGACTCCTACAGCTCCTTGTTCCTGTTGAGCACCTCCTCCTCCTTCCAGCCACTGGAGTTCTTCCCAAACTTGTACACCAGCCGCCGCCCATCGACTCTCTCCAGGATCTCTCGTTTGTAGTAGTACCTGGAGGAGACAGGGGTGGAATCAGGACTCTGGATGCAGCCCTGCGTGCTGGGGAGCTGTTGCGGGGGATGAAGGCTCAGCCCTGGTGGGTCTGACCCCGGGACAAGGGGAGGGCACTCACCGCATGGCTCGGCTCAGCTTCTCGTAAGTCATGCTGCTGTTTTTCTTCTTCTGGCCCCAGAGCTGAGCCACTGCCTCTGAACGCAGGAACTTGAAGACGCCCTCCCGCCGGTCCTCCCACTTCATCAGCCCCTCGTTCAGCTCAGGGTGGATCAGGATGTCCCGGATGAACTCCCACAGGTGGGTACCTCTTGGCGCTGGAAGAGCAGAGCAAGATGTAGAGGAGGGAAGGTCCTGCAGCTCCCTACAGGTTGGATGTCCCCAAACACCCTTGCCAAGGGGCATGGCCCTTTCCCCCATGTCCCCCCACCATGAAGCCAAGCTGGGGGAGGCAGCCCTGTAGGGTCCACGTACAGTGCTTGCTCTTCCGGCTCTCCAGGCAGTCTCTGCTCTCCTTGCTGAGTTTTCGAGGCCGTCCTCGTTTCCTCTTGCCGTGTTTACTGTCCCCTTTCTTGCTCCCTGCAAAGCCACCTGTGCACACAGACAGGACACGTTACGCTGAGCAGAGCCCCCTCCCCGGGCACAGAGATGTCCTCCTCAGGGGCAGAAGCACAGGGAGACTGGTTGGGGCAGGCAGAGAGATCAGGGGCGGCACCCTCTTTTCAGGCCCGTGTACCAGGGGCCCATTCCCCCATGAGCAAGGTCTCCACATTCCCGTCCCACTCTCAGGCCCCAGCTCTGCCCCATCACCAACAGGGAGAAACAGACCCATGGTGCACCAAAAACCAGCCCCCTCCCTCCTTTCCAGAGTGGGGGTGGAGGTTCAGGTGCCCTCCCTAAATCACTGCAGACAGGATGTGTCTGCAGCTGCTGGAAGTGCCCGGGAGTGAGCCCTCTCCTCCCGGCTCCCACTGGGAAGCAAACAACTCAAAACAACTCACCATCAGGGAACAGCTTTGCTTCCGCAGGGTCGAGGTCGAGGTCGCTTCCACCGGAGTCCTGGGAGATGGGGCTGTGGGACAGCACAGGCCCTGAGAGGCAGAGGGACAGGGCTCAGCTGCTGGCATCCAGAGATGCTTCCCCCCGGATTCCCTCCCTGCTGCCCAGTCCAAGACTCAACCCTGGCCTCAGTGGTGGGGCTGTTCCCCACTGACCTCCCAGAGCAGCCCGAGCAAAGGGAGCTTTTCGCAGCACAAAACACTGACCTGAGACATCAGAGCTGCCTGGGGACATGGCACCAGGCAAGCAGGTGAAGTCTGTGGATAGGAAAGGGTTCGTGGGCTTCATGTCCTCCAGGGAGTCTTTGGCGCAGGGATTTCCCAGCTCTAAAAGGGGCAGAGAAGGGGAGAAGGGGTTACCCCCACCTGCAGCAGCACCCGGTCCCCAGTTAAAGGCTTGGCCGTGGCACCTCTCTTACCCAGGTGGCTGGAGTCCAGGAAGGTCTCTTGGGAAGTCGCATCCTCTTTTTCCAGCAAGTCAATGATCCAGTTCAGCTCATCGGAGGCTGCAGGGGTGGGGGGACTGGGATTAGGGATGTGTATTCTGTATGGTGGGCAATGGCACACACTGGGAGCTAAGCCCAGCCCTGCCTGGTCTGTGCCCCCCTGCAGCATCCCCAGTGCAGCCTCCCCCAGGCAGCCCCCCCAGTGCCCGCCAAGCACAGGGTCCTGGGCTGGTGGGGGGTCTCAGCCCCACACTGCCAGCTGTCGGGCTGGGGATGAAGGGGACAAGGGGACACTCACTGATCTCGTGCAGGCGGTCGTAGAGCTCATCCCCCAGGGGCCCAAAGATGAGGCGCATCTGGTCCCTGGTGCAGTGGCAGAGTGCGTGGCCGTCCATGTTGCAGCAGGAGAAGTCGATGGAGCTGGCGTCGTACTTGTTCTTCTCCACGTGGTAGCTGATCCACTCCAGCACCTGCACCTTGGTCCAGAAGTAGGGGAGCTCACTGAACCACCCCGGTTTGTCTGCAAGGGATGGAAAGAGGGGCTCAGGAACAGGGCAGCCGTGCCAGCGCCGCGGGTCACATCTGCGCTGCCAGCTGCAGTTGGACACTGTGTCCTGTCCTGTGGGGATCACACAAGGCACAGCGAGCCCTGCACTTTGAGGGCTATGGCCCAACAGGGGCTTAGTGCCTGCCCTGTTCCTGTCCTAGGGGACAGCAATGACCTGACGCCCCCACACACATTTGTTTTGGTGCTGTTTGTCTCGTTGGTGGTGGGAGCCACCCTGCTCTGCTAGTGTTTCCCGTGCCTCCCTCAAGGCCATCCTGTGACAGTCCCACCAGCAGAATGGGACCCCTGGCACCAGGACTGTGTTTCCCAACTGCTCTCCTGGTGAGCCGTGGGCACCCATTCCCTGGGATGTGCCAGGGGAGGAGGGCAATAAGTCCTTCACGTCCCATAAACACTCCAAGCAGCCATGCCTTGTTCCACCCAGAGTCTCTTCCAGCAACCTTTTTGGCCAACAAACCCCTGGGGAAACTGAGGCACAGTGCAAGTTGTTGACTTGCCCCAATGGGACCAGGACCTTGCAATGCTCTTCCAAGCCTTGCTGCTGCCTTGAGTGCTGGCTCCCCTGTGCAGCCACCACCACTCCCTGGGTCCTACCTGTGCTCTGTGCCAGGGGCTGGCTGGGGGGGAGGCTCAACCCCAGGGTGCTGTCTTCCCCAGGGTGTCCCAGCAAGTCCAGGGTCGGCTGCGCCTCGTCCGGCTGGTACATGGCACTGATGTAGTTAGAGAAGATGTTGCTGATCTCGCAAGATCCTGCCATCAAGATCTGTGCCAAGAGACAACAGTGAGCTCTGGCCTCATGGAGATGGCGAGGACCCGAGCCCGCAGCACCTCCAGCACCCCCGGGACCGGGCTGGGTGACGCTGGGCTCTCCCTCCCTCCCTCCATCGTCACCTCTCAGGTCACTGCTGCAGAAACACCCGCCCAGCACCCGCCGGCCAGGGCTGGGGCCTGACTCACCACCGCCCCGGGGCCGGGAGCAAGGGAGGCTGAGCCGGAGCAAACCGGGGACACAGCGTCACCGCGCTGGGCTGGAGCCCCGACCCCGGCAGCCCGGCCTCACCAGCCCTGGCGGCAGCCAAGCACAAAGGGACGCAAGCAGGTGGCTCGCAGAGAATGGCGCTGCACAGCCCCTCTGTGGGGACGGGCATTGAGTGCTCCCCCAGCCCCACGGCACAGCAGCGCTGGGGACGGCACAGCCCCCCTGCCCGCTGTGGGGACTCTGGTGCCAGCAGCTCCCCGACCCCGGCAGCCCGGCCTCACCAGCCCTGGCGGCAGCCAAGCACAAAGGGACGCAAGCAGGTGGCTCGCAGAGAATGGCGCTGCACAGCCCCTCTGTGGGGACGGGCATTGAGTGCTCCCCCAGCCCCACGGCACAGCAGCGCTGGGGACGGCACAGCCCCCCTGCCCGCTGTGGGGACTCTGGTGCCAGCAGCTCCAGTCCTCTCAACCAGTCCCGAGAAGCACATC